CACATATGAATTGTACATCTTGGAAAACTATTCTTTTCATTTGGGAGTGAGGTGTGCCAGCGTAAGGGCAAAAGTACTAGAGCGATATGCATCAAACTGCAAAGCACTATCTCTTATGGCTCAACTAATCCATTCATGGATTCGGGTGTTGGTCAGGAGGCTCATCACGCATCGGAGGCGGAGTCGCAAGTGACGCTCGCTGCAGATAGTACCGTATCCAGTAGTCTTCTGTAGCATGCGGTAGCATAGCGCCTATTTGTGGAAGGAATTGTTAGTGGTCGGCCTTGTCGCCACGCTTATGAGGGTGGTGGAAATTTAGATTTTAGTTGAAATTAGCTACTTGTAGCCATATTCCCTCACGATTAGAAGGTAATGTGAGCTCTGTCAGAGATTTGCACCTCACGCAGATTCCCTACGTAGAGGAAGCGTCTTTTGCAAGAGATGCGCAATTTTTAACTCCGAAGGGGTAGCTTTCGGTGAAAATATGGTTTGGCTTAGTAGTGTCCCATGGCCTGAACCCCCCCCCCCCCTTAACGGATTATGTGGCTACCAACGCGTTCTTCACCTGAAGGCGTGGGCTCACTTTATCGCTTTGAATTTTTCTGATTATAGGTGTAAGTGCCACAACGATTGACGTCGATGGCGAAGGTAAGATGAAAATTGAAGACATCGAGGAGGCGATTCGAGTGCGCGATGTCCACATGCCAAACACGCGTCTGATTTGCCTCGAAACCACTCACAACTATTCGGGAGGACGAGCTCTGCCTATGGAATATATCATGTAATCAATCTGTCCTTAATGATTTCCCCTAGCATAGTTTAGCCTAAATCCTAATCTTCTTAGTTCAGATCGGTGCGAGAGTTGGCCTCAAGATATGGTCTCAATGTTCATATCGACGGAGCTCGCATCTACAACGCTTCCATAGCTCTCGGAGTTAAGGTACGGATGCATTTACTTTGTTCTCCATCTAGAAAGGTCATGGGCTCTTTTTAAAACAATATGAGACCAATATTTCCCTTCACTTAAAGGACAAAGGACAAAGGAGACCCTATACAATGACTTGCGGGG